TAGGTATAATTATAATTATTAGTGTTATACTATATTATAGTATTTCAGTATTCCAGCAAATACTATACACGAACACTACTATGACAAGCCCGTAAATTTAAGAAACCACAAATGCAGAGTATTAACGAATATTTAAAGCTTGACCTTGAATCTAAAAATAGATTTGTTACGGGTAGAATTGGCAACACCGCTGGGCTTTACAGCGATTAATCAGTATATATTTTTATACTAGTGGGCTTTTCAACGTATTAATAATATATGCTTGGGCTTTACAAGAACAAAAATGTTTCTACCGACAATCCTATAGGGAAATCTTTACCCCTCGTCTTTCCCCTCTATAGGTTTTTAATGATTTAAATGAGATAGAAGATAAGTATACACGCCTAAACCACTAGCAACTGCAGGGCTCCGAAGCGACCCATCCGTCTCCGGGCTTCAAAACATACCATTTATAGGTATATATATATATATATATATATATATATATATATATATATATATATATATATATATATATATATATATATATATATATATATATATATATATGTGACCAAAGGGGACATTATTTGGTGCTACCGCTAGCCACCCCCTACCCCTCCTTAAGGGTGAAACGGGGGGTAACTTTGGAAAGTCAAATGGAATGACCCGATTTTTTTCACAGAGTTTGGTAGTACATAAAAAAATGAATAACTTTTATTTGAAAGTTTTTTTCAATTTATCAACAGATGGCGCTTTAATTCAAAATTTAAGAAAAAGGGGTTTCCTTGTAAAATGTATTATTTGAAACGTTTGAAAAACAAAAATTAACATTAAATCATTATTTGTTATAAATTGTTTTCATAGCCGACTATTGTTGTTAATGTTAATTTTTATTTTTCAAACGTTTCAAATAATACATTTTACAAGGAAACTCATTTTTCTTAAATTTTGAATTACAGCGCCATCTGTTGATAAATTGAAAAAAGTTTTAAATAAAAGTTATTTATTTTTTTATGTACTACCAAACTCTGTGAAAAGAATCGGGTCATTCCATTTGACTTTCCAAAGTTACCCCCCGTTTCACCCTTAAGGAGGGGTAGGGGGTGGCTAGCGGTAGCACCAAATAATGTCCCCTTTAGTCACATTAACCTTTTATCTAAGACATTTTTCCGTGAAATGCGTATTTCTCGAGATATTGAGCTGTCTCAAGTTAAAAGAAACACCCTGTATATATATATATATTTATATATATATATATATATATATATATATATATATATATATATATATATATATATATATTATTGCGTTTTTAAATATTACCGAAAAAATCTGGAGCTATTGAGTTTTTAATCGTTTTTCTATCTTTAATTGTTTTTGGGATATTTATTTTTTTTCAAAAACACAAATTGAGTGACTAACTAAAATGTTTCAATTACCAACAATTTTAATGTTAAAAAGTTCATTCTTGTTATGCACGTAAATAAAGAGTGTTTGGTATTTTCATTTATTTTTTTAGCCACATAAATGTCAATAACTTACTTATTTTTAATAAAAGACCATACAACTTTTTCACCATTTGAAGTGGATTATTATTCTACACGATTTCTTAAGGCATACCCTATGCGGCATAAATATTTATTATCCATAGGCTATGGATAATAAATATTTACAGAGATATTACCAAAAATGTGGAAAAACGCTCATTCGACTCATGTTTATTGTCACAAGTGTGCTTTGGATGATTTTAAATTTTATTTTTGATAAACAATATGAATATGTAATTTACAGAAATTTTGAACAATTTTTTAGTTTTGTTTTGTATTTTTATTTTAAATGTGTTAAAAAAATTTAAAATTAACATAAATTACAAAAATCCGTAAAAAGAAATGAAATTTTAACGTTGTATGTACATAGTAGAAAATTGTGTGCCTATTATTTATATAATTTTTTTTTTAAATAATACCTTAAATTCTAGGGCGTTTTGCCTCGAGTATTTATGTTGGTATAGTTACCCATTTTTCATATCAATATCACTGATATTACATTATTAATTAACGCTACTAATAACAACCTTGTGCGAGTACTATTGCGGCCGATAAAAAGTAATCGACCAATTTTCCCATTGTAAATATGGTTGTCACCAGTGGCATTTCAAAAATCATTTTATAAAATTAAGTAACGTCATCTTAAATTAAGTAAAGTCATTATTTAATTATGCCTTACCATACTTTAAGTGAAGCAGAGAAAGGCTATATTATCGCCAAAATTGGAGAAGGATGGTCTCAACAACAAATAGCAGATGAAATAAACTGCAGCAAAAGCGCTATTCAAAAATTAAACAAAAAGTGGGTGGAAACTGGTGACCTGAGTAGGGTAATGGGTTCTGGGTGTCCAAGAAAGACAACTCCAGTAAACGACAACGAATTGGTTGAATATGTGAGGCAAAACCCATTTTCTAACTCCATTCAAGCCAAAGAGGAAACCAACTTCCCAGCATTTAACTGCGTGAGTGCTAAAAAGCCTCGCTTGACGGATCTTAATAAAGAGGCAAGAGTGGAGTTTGCAAATAATTTTTTAAATCAAAAAGCTAAATATTGGGAGCGAGTAGTCTTTTCAGATGAAAAAATATTTCAATCCTGCTACAATGGGCAACTGCGAGTTTATCGTCCCAGAAACCATAAGTTTGATGAAGAATACCTCCACAAAACTGACACAGCGGAAGATTTTCTGTCCACGTTTGGGCGTGGATATCATCTTCAGGGGCTGGTATAATTCATATTGTAGAAGGCCGATTAACTGGAAACCGATACGTGGAAATTTTAAACGATGCTTCCGTCAGTGCAAGAAAGATTTAATAATGATTTTGTGTTTCAACATGTAACACTTTATGATTTATCTTTACTGATCAAAAAAATATATTTTTTCATTTTAAGGATAACTCGCCAGTAAAAAAATATATAAATATGAATTTAGAACAAGAAATAGAGAAGACCTTATTAATGCAATTCAAAATGAGTGGAACAATTTGGAAGAAAATTACGATATGCAAAATTTAATTAGTTACAAAAGATTAAGATTACAAAATGTTATAGAGAAGAATGGTGGTTCTACCAAGTATTAATTATTTTTTTTAAATGGAGTTTTTATAGCATTACAAATGTGTAAGATTATGTAAGATAAAGCCCGAGGGAGGGCTGAATAAAAAAATTGCCAGGGCCGGTTTTTCTGAGCCCTGGTTGGCTCATCTTTTATAATTGTTATAGTCGTAGTATACTATTTCTTTTTAAGTTTAAATTTATTTATTTTGGTCGCCCAATAAATAATTTGTTCTTTTTGTTTGTATTACGAATAAACATGCTTTATATAATTTAAGTTTTTTAATTAAAAAATTAAATATGTCATACACCTATGATTTCTTGTCAAAATAATTTAATTGACATGACTGACGTAAAAAACCTTAATTACAATAGCCAATTTTTAAGAAAAACATGCAACTTGATAAAGAATCGATTACTTTTTATCGGCCGCAATAGTACATACCTACAAGTATTTTTCAATACGCACCCACGATTGCACTTTTAACCTCACAACAATCCACAAGATTCATGCAAACCACAAACTATTTTAACTCGCGATATTGCTTTGGCCGGGATTCATCTCTACGAAACCGGAATCGTAATCCGCTGTCTATGACGTCAGCCGGGATTGGTACGGATCCCGGAGCATTAAAAAATGATAAAAATAAATAAATACGACCAACTTAACATGTATTTTACTTTATATGATTTTTAAACCTTGCTACCGAATTTTTTTTTTATTATCCATTTATTGATTTTTTTTTGCTGCAAAATAAGGCAAAAATTTAAATATATTTTAAAGCAGTTTTCAAGAAATTTTGAAATTTAGCATGTTTCATTATGAAAAACCAGTTATATTAGACTACCTCTTTGATGAAGGCAATCAGTGACGCGTCTTGGTATCGATATGGGTTTTGGATTTTAAAGATATTTCTTAAACGATTAATATATTTCCTAAACGATTTAACAGCAAAATATGAGGAGATCCATTCCAAAACTAGGCTTATCCACTTTTTAATAAAAATGAATTGGTGGTGTCTATACATTTAACACGTACCCTGAAAAGTGAAACTTAAACTAAACTAACCTATTCCATTTAAAATTCATTTACAAATTGACTATCGTTCCAAAACTTGCCTTATCTATTGGTTATATCATGCAGAACTCGGTATATACGTATGTTATTTTAAATTAATTATTTTAAACTACCTTTCAAGGTATATAAATGTTTTACTTATGCCTTTATATTTCGTTTAAAGTATTGGGTTTGCCTGATATGCGTTAGTACTCACGTGTAAGGTTTTTGACATTTTGCTCGAAAACAACTAATATGGATACCTAAGCCGAGTTTTGGAATGCATCTCCTCATATTTAAACTTCAGTGGTGGTGTTATCTGGGTTGCCTATATTCAGTAAAACATTTAAATCCTAATTTAAAATTGTATATTTATTTATGTTATTAAATAATGAATTTATTTTTATCATTAAAAAAATGCCAATTTTTTGTCAAAATATTAGACAATTTTAATTACACCCAATTTTTAACATAATTATTTAAATATCATAATAAATTGGATTTCAGTCAAAAAAATCTTTAAACTTTTATATCTTTTTAATTTTAAAACTTTGAGAATTTATTTTCAACTGCTAATGTTATTCAAGCGATTTAAGCAGCTGATTTTGTTGTCTATCTTTGTACTCTTTACATTCCGTCTTTATTTTTAATTCATTCCAACTATCTTGTAACGTCCTACAAAATATAGATTTTCCAAGGAACTTTATTTAAAAAATTAAGGGATTTAAGAAACTATTTTGCTGTATTCCAAAAATATTTCATTTTAAAATACTTTGTATAGTATAAAATTGTTTTATTTATTTATTGAAAGCCGTTTAAAAACATAGACATTGTTCAGGTAAGGCGATTGAAGTAGGTAGTGGGGATGAGTGTTCAACATTGATACAAAATGTTCAGAACACAGTTAGTTTCAATTCAAACGTGATATCGGTTGTATTTAAAATATTATTTTCAAGTTTCATGTTGTTTACTACCCCAATTTTTAAATTAATTAACTGTAGAACAGTTTATGAGTGAGTTTATAAACATATTTGATTAATAAAAAATAAGTGTGGTTAAAAGTGGTGATAAAGGTTAAAACTGAAACATAACCTAACTTATATCTGACAAACGTACACATAATTAATATAATATAAGTAATGGTGATAGTGAATGTGTATTTATTCGACTAAATAAATTTTCCAAGAAAACTACAAGATTTTCGAGTGTTATTCTTAAGGAACGGTAATATGGGAATTAAGTTTTACTGTTGTTCATCGACCTAGATTTTAACTGTTATAAATAACGTTCGTACGAGGATTTCCTACTTTTTATTCTAGAAAGAGTGTTTTAGTACTTTCTTTCAAACAATGATAACGAGTGTTTAGTAAAGTGCGTGGCAAAAATAAAGGAAACCAAACATGCGTTGCCATAAGAAAACAAATGAAAGCGGGTTTTTTGAAGGTGATTCCTCGGACACAGACGGTTTAAACATGGGTAAAGCCCTAAAAAGGACTAAAGTTTTTACTGCATCCAGCGACTGCAAAAGAAAAATCGAATACACGGCCGAAGAACTAGAAACCCACATTAAACCCTTGGAGCAAGCAAAAAAAGGTAGATATTACCCCTTGCAATTTAGGGATATATTTTAATTATTTACCCATTTCTTACACATCCAAAATATGCGCATTATTAACAGAGTATCTCAAACAATATTTATATTAGTGCATACTACTATCACAGGTAAATAGTCTACCTATAGTTTACCTATACCTACCCAAGGTAAAATTTGATCAAAATTTTTGACAATCCGAAATTTAATTTGCAAATGTACCTTTAAACTTTTTACAGTTATAATTCACATCGGCGGCAGCCTTGAAAACAAAATTCGTAGACTACAAATGTTTAATAAAATTGACCATGGCAAGAGACAATATTTAAAAATATCCTTCATAGCTGGTTAGATACAAGTATCGAATTAATTTTAACGAAAATATTTTTTTATTTATCAATAACATTTTTTGCCAACGTTGCATACTTACCTACCTATAATGCTAAAAATTGCGCAACTTATTAAATTAATTTGTTTTGTCGGTTACACATTCTAAAAAGAAAGTTTTGAGACATTTACAGGTGCTTAAATATACATGAATGTACCTATACACTTTCATTTAAACTAATAACTTTGTTATGAAATTATCAAAGAAATCCTTAAAAATTATAAAAAGGTGCATTAATGAATTGTTTATCTGATAATCAAACAAAGGCTTTAATTAAACCTTTTATTGAAAAAACTTTGTTTCGACTAAAAACAATTATCACAGTGTGATTTTTTAATTTGTTATTTTTCTTTCAGATTAAACAACAATATTTACTATGTTGTTGTGAAGGTGTAATCAATTTATTTGCCATTTATTATATTAAAAAATCGATACACTGATCGCATCTAACGGTATTTTCATTTCGTCTAGTTTTTAATTTTGCCTGTTGCAAATATAAGAATTTTTCGTGAAAGTAATCCCAAAATCTCAGGTAAAATGCACCACTAAACAAGGGGGGTTTAAAGTGGCTAGCACCTGGTCTTTAAAGTTTCTTTATACAGGGTGTCCCATAACTGTACAAATAGGGGGGCAAAATGGTCGATTAACTCAATAACAAGATACATGTAAGATTTGGTAGGTAGGTGCCTATACCTAGATAAAAAAAAATTACAGTACCTATAGGTGGTAGAAATTTGTGATCATTTTTTATGGTACCTATCTACTCCTAGAGAGCGTTAATGACACAGGTAGAATCAATAGAAGTATTGATTATTAATTGAAGTAAGTTTACTTTTTTTACCTCATTCCGACCTTTCTTTATTGCCCTCAAGGAGTACCTACCGTCAAAAATAATCATAAATTTTTGTTTTCAGTTTTTAAACACTATAGGTACCTAGATACTCCACGAATTTTGAGTTTCTAAAGTTGCTGTATTTTCCATTATTTTTGGGACACCCTGTATATTTAAAAAGATTATTTATAGCCCTGTATGTCGGTTAATAACAATTTACTAAGGCATATTTGTGTTAATCGAACTATTTTGATTTTGTATTTCTACAGTTGCTGTGTTGTCCGTTATTTATTGGACACACTGTATATTTAAAAAGATTTATAAATGTAATAACCCAAAATAGAACTCTTCTTGGTATTATTTTAATGACGCAAATTTAAATTCTAATATATTTTTTTAATGTTTTATCAAAAAATAAATTACAATACTGATTGATTCTGGAAATCCTTGGCTTAAAAAAGCACACATTTTTTGAGGTTAATTAAAAACTCGTTAAAATAAAACTACTTGGGATTAACTGTTTTGTTAACATGTAGGTTTAATAATAATCATAATAATAATGTGTGAAGCAACAATGCTCGCAACAATGCAATGTTACCTTAAATTAAAAAGGAACATGAAATTTTTTTAATTTTAATTGTTTTAAATTATAATCGATATATAGAGTGTTGGCCATAATTTTTGCAACCACTGTAAAAAAAATCTAACTCTAAAATCTCGCTCTAAAACGCCTTTTATTCTTTAAAATTTTGGATAAAAATACTTCAACTTATATCTCAGTTTACGTGTTCGAGGGTTTTTCGAGAAAATATTTTTAAAGCCCTTTCATTTAATAATGAAAAAACCTTCGAAAAAAAATCTCGAAATAAAAAATATGCTGTTAAACCGCATGTTTGTTAGTATACCCTAAAAATTTTGTACAAATCAAATGAACAGCAACGAAGATACAGCGATTCAAAGTCGTCAAAAATAACCACTTTTCAGCAAAATAATCAAAAAGGGGTCATTTTTACCGACTTTAAAGCGCTGTATCTTCGTTACTGTTCGTTTAATTGATACAAAATTTTTACTAACAAAAATACGGTCTTTAACAGCATATTTTTTATTTACTTTAAAAAAATTACCCTAAAAGTTATTTTTCATTATTAATTAAAAGGGCTTTAAAAATATTTTCTCGAAAAACCCTCGAACACGTAAACTGAGATATAAGTTGAAGTATTTTTATCCAAAATTTCATAAAGAATAATAAAGGCGTTTTAGAGTTAGATTTTTTTACAGTGGTTGCAAAAATTATGGGCAACAAAATTAAAAGAATTCTAAATAATATTATTTTCTGTTTTTAAATTTATAATTTTAATACCGTACAATAATTATAACATTTTTATTACCTGTCATCTTTCAAAACCAATCAGAGCCCTTTATTTGTCAATTTTTGACCGATCGAAATGCAAATATTGGACTAGTACAAAGTGTGGCGAATATTGTACCAGTAGGCTTGGTACTAGGTGAATATTTTTCAATTTCGATGCCTTTATAAATTTATCAATTGGAATTTTTTGAATTTCTGGTTCAATAAAATTGTCCTCCGAATATTACTCGTAATCAAATATAATTTTCCTATATAATAGGTACCTAATTACATCAAGTAATAAAAAATATGTCCAATATTTTGAGGTTTGAATATTGTTTGTGGTTGCGAACATTAGATTAATTACCTCTGCTTGCGAATAGTACTCGTGCTGCGCAAGCACAAACAATATTCCCTATTACACCTTAAAATATTCGACTAATTTTTTATTACTTGTTTACCTACCTATTACTTATAGGAAAATTAGGTTGAGATAAATATTTTTTTCCTTATTTAGTTTTCTACTACGTAGAACTCTATAGAAATCTGTAGAACTGCATGTTTGTTGGAAGAGTAGTTATAACTATAGGTCAATATCAATTTCAACATCAATATCAATTTTTCAGGGGAAAAACCATATGGGGAATATTTGCCTAATTTTTACACAAAAATACTTTCATTGATTAAATTTATCGTATTACCAATTGGTGTACAATTGATGTAATTTTAATTTGGCAAAGGTGAGACACCCAGTATATTGTTCCGACTCTCCGAACATTTGAAACGTCAAAAATATACTCGAAAATTTAAAATCCAATGTTTTAAAACTTTTGTTAAATTTGTTTTATTCTAATTTTTGAATTAAGGATATAAAGAAGGACGAATTGCAAAAATGCAAGAAACAAATAATTAAAACGAAGGTTACATTAATAAAGTTAATTAATTTAAAAATATCAATTGTTAAAACTTCCAAGTCGCAGTTTATTTTTTTAAGAACCTTGTTTTTTTCTTTAATTCAATGATGCGTTTGAAAATGGTAAAGACCATTAAAATTGTTAACACGTATATATTTAATGCTTATTTGGTATCATTATTTTGCAATACTAGAGACAGAAAGTTTTTTAATTAAACCGATTATTTTGCAAATGCTTGTAGTTGATTTTAATCAATAAATTATTTAATGCACCCGATATTGCTGGTATTAATAAATTTTGAAAGCTTTTCGCAATTTTGTTTAATCAAACAGTTCAGCCTGAAACAACGAAATTATTTACTAAATTGGTATTTTATGTTAAAGCATTTTGGTAATTGTGAGTTTTTTATTCGGAGACAAGTTACTTAATTGAAATGTTCTTAAGGCCTGTTGGTATTCGGTCTATATATAGACTTATCCTGCAAATAACAAACTTATCAACTTAGATATATGGAGTTAAAAGATTACAAGGACGAATGCTTAAGAAACAAGTTTTCTTCTTGTTTGTGTCTGGTTTTTTCTGTGATATAATATTTCCAATAAAATACATCATTGATATGTTTTGCCATTATCCTAGCTTAATAAAAATGTCTTTTACTTAGCTGCTGCATGGATTTTTAGGGTAAGGCCGCGTTCAGACATCATGCTGGTACTTAGCATAAAAAATTGATAACAGCTTGTTCCAGATGATTATATTTCCATTACACAAAGATTATAATAAAAAATTTATGCGGGATGAAATACAATTGCATGATTCTTGTGCAATATAACGATCATGGGCGTTAGTATTATTATTATCCTACAATTTATTTCGTAATAAATATTTTAATATTAAACAGGATGCAAAAGCGTTTCTAACAATGGGGCATTTCGACAGTATGTGTGTTAAAGTTATAGAAAAATAAATACATTTTAAAAACGAACAAATCTGCAAATTTTTCGTATATTACAGTCTTCTGTAAAATCGTTGGCGCTTTATTTTGAGGTTTATAGTTTTGCAAAACTAATAAGATATTCGATCTACCACTTGGCTATATCTTATAGGTAGTTGCGATTTTAGTCAAAGCAAATCGTCCTTAAAACCGAATCTCGACCACCTGTTAATGAATGAGGTGCATCCAATCAATGGGCGATTAGCAGCGGAAGTCGATGTTAATTGTTGCTGATGATGTTTGTGTGTGCAAAATTATGTCATATGAGTCGTATAGATTCAAAACCCGCCAAATCCATTTATTAAAAGTAAAGGACAGTAGATATGTTTGCAATACATATTAATTATGTTGTTATGGAAACATGTCTTCTGTCCTTTACTTTCAATAAATGGATTTGGCGGGTTTTGAATCTATACGACTCATATGATTTGTGTGCCATAGTCATGTGGCGCGGTGCGACCTCAGACGCCGCCGTCCGTACATGACCTAACATTGACCTACTTGGGTCTCGCAACTGATTATTGCATCA